GTAACTAAAAATAAATGTAGTGGAGTAAAAATACCAGGTTAACCTCTGAATTGTACTGGAGTAGAACAAAGTAGTACATGCTGTTGTAACTAAAACATGTCCCAACTTGGGATCAATAAATTATATCTTATCTTATCTTAAGATGATCGATGGCTACTGACATATTTGCAAAATTTGCCTCTGAACCTTGACAAGTGCATGTTTCAGGCTTATCAATGAACAACAGGAGGGGTCACAGACATAAGACCAGCTGTTAAATAAAGCTCTTCTGACCTTAACTGTCATGTGGGTAGATATTAATGCTGCCGATTATGGACACAAGCAATTTTCACCCATTTATTAATTATATGTTTTAAATTTGATAACACCACTGTGTGTCGTATCCCCTAAACCTCCAGGGGTGTACACAGTTTAATACTGGCAACTTGTAATTATGGGAAATACGAAAACGTCTTTTAAAACTACAATTCCCAGTAGAGACGTGCCATAGAACATGTTGCGAAACACAGCCAGCATGTGTAGTTCGGGGCCCGTTCGAGTCCAGTTTTGGATAGTCTGCCGTGGTTACATTCCATTTCAAATAGCTGTTTGACGCTCGGTGTAACCTTGTCGCACTGCTACTCCAACATCCAATCACAGAGCTTGAGGACTAATCATGGGGTTTGTAAAGGAAAGCGGATGTTGTAGTCACAAACGACAGCTGAGGATTCTGGGTAGTGTAGTGTCTTCGTAAACTCTGTAGTGTCTAAACTCAGAAAAAACTATTTGTTTCTCCGAATCGAAGGTTAAAAACACAAAAGCATTATTCACAATTTAAACCAATCAATATTGTGTAATTAACAAGGATAAACTGATGTTTTTTAGTGGATGAGTAATGCAGATATCACTATGTAATCATTTGACAGTGTGGGGAATACTTCCGGTTTTATTATGAAAACTTCTCGACCGGAAATACTGTTTTCACCCCGTGAGGGTTGACGCCAACTTTACATTGACGCTGCGTAAAGACATTACACGTTCTCCTGGCGGGACCTCAAATCATCTTCGTAATATCTATCAAACTCCTACACATTCACTGGACGTAGATTTTAAAAGTACATACACTTCTCGCTAGAAATCTAATCAAAAAGCATTTTAATGGCCAAACTATCCTACAATTTAGGATTTTCCAGAGGGTTATTTGTGAATAAACGACCCTCCGGAGCGTTTGCAATCAACGGGGGCATGTTGTTTATTACACGACCACTAGAGGTGCTACACTTTAAAACGGGACTATGGGTCGTAATAAGCTGCTGAACAATCAACCTATTTCGTCGTTTTTTGTAGGAGGACAGGCTGGACACAAATCAATAAGGAAACAGTCACGCGCATCACAACACCTGCACATAAACCTGAAACCTGCACGCGGAGAGTGGACTTGTCAACAAACTGAAAGATAGCATTAGCATAGAAAGATGGTACAAACGTGGTAGTGTGCAATTTTTTTTATTTAAAACTGACCCTGGAATCTTCTTCCATGTTTCCAAAAACAAGTCAATTCATTGTTTGTTTCACAAACTGTAGCATTTTGCTAGTCACTGCCAGTTACAAGCTCACAAGCTAACAAACAACATGAGCTGAATAAAACGTGCTAACTACACTTAGGCCTACCATGCTGATAGGTCTGCTAGTCCCAGATTGTGGTGCACAACAGACTTCTCCTCTGAGTCAAACATGTATGGCTAATTCTCTCAGGTGTTTTCTAACAAAGAAAATAGACCAGACAACGAAACGCATCGCTCAGGACCCATGCTTCGATGTGCGCACCTGTCAGCTAGCTCGAGCAGGTGTGGGCGGTGCCAAATCCAGAACATACCAGGGGGAGAGAGATTTCATTCTAGCCCCTTTACAGTTTTTTGTTGGAAAACCATAATAAACTAAATATCAATCACGGTAGCCTTTTGTCACATACTTAATTAAAAACATGTCTGGGGGGAGTTAAAGATTATTTTCATTTTTCCCAGGATTCACTCATTTTGGCTCCTATTTTGGACTGTTATATATTTTTTGTCATACTGCAGCTTTCAGTAAAATAGCTTGGCAGAATGCTCAGGGAATGTTATTTTTGGGAAACATGGCAAATGCTATGAAACACAATAATATAATTTGTCCATCACCAACCTTAAGATTTCCAATGATGTAAATTATAGGAAATGTTTCCTTAAAAGAGCAGAGTGAAACAACTTTATAGACAACAATTCATAAAATGTAAGAGACATGATGAGAGAGAAATTAATATGTTCAAGATATGTTGCTGCAGAGCAGAGTCACTTTGAAGAACTACAGTAAGAGAGGCCAGATGTTCCACTGGTGTGGTGTATAACAAAGACTACCCCCCAATGCATTCCCTAATTCAGTTCAATAGATCAGGTATAAACAAATTAATAACTTATGAATGTTTTGGAGTCTGTATTATCCAGCTTGCAATTGGCTTTGACTTCGACATTACCGTCCCCTGCAATCATCAGAAATGTTTCACATTAACCATTATGCTTGTGGCATGTCAGTCTGGTAGAACAAGTTATACAAACATTACTGCATTACTCTGCAAGGTCCCTTTAACATCCCAAATGGCACAGCTAATGTTTTGTCGTCATGTTGTCATTATAGGATAACAAGATAATAAGTTAGTCAAACGTCTACTGTAGGCCTACACCATTAATGTTCACTTGAATAATATCATTGCCTTTTTTATGTTTATGTAACTTTTCACAATATGACAAGGAAGGTTGAGAAAAAATAAAACACCTTTCACTGCTTTCCCAAAATGGCCTTACTACTATTCGGTGTCTCAACCCTTCAAACCTAGTTCATTTGCCATGTGGAAAAGTTGTTATAAATATGGCATATGCTGATGATTAAGGATTTATAATTGCCTTCAAAGTTACAACCCTGTCCAAATGTTGTAACATGAAAACAATACTTATGTCATGCTTACAACGAACAATCTATGCTTTGCAAGGAATTCTGGGAACATAGTGAACATTTCCACACTGTAGCCTGCTCATGATGGCAGAACATGTCTACTTAACATTAGTGTTCTCTACTCTTGGATTACATGTCCGTCCCAATGACTGCGCAACACTTGCAAACTTCACTTAATAGCTCAGACACAGTATTAAAAACATGTGTTTATCCATTGTATAACATATTATAGCCTCATGTTCCTGTGGGGTTGGGGTTAGTGTGTGGCACTCACAAGTGACTTTATTGTTATGTAATGTCTCATTATATTCCCTCTGGGACTTAAAGTGGTCTGATGGTACACACAGATAGCCCTGCTCAGTGCTGAGTTTATGGCGACCTTATCGCACTTAATGGTATTTGTTTTAATCTCCCTAGGCATCTTACAGGCCCTCCATAGTGTGCTGTGTCCGCACTGCTTAATAGTGACTTTTCAGTGACCTTATCGCACTTTATGGCATTATGTCCCGTAACAGCCTCTTAGTGGTGGTGGTGGTGGGGGGGGGGGTTAAGTGGTCTAAAAACGGACAATCTGACATCTCAAACACAATACTGATATATGATGGCGCTTACGTAACGCAATTTACGGAATACCCCACGGGCCAATTAAACGGATAACGATATTTTGTAACAATTTTGAGTAATCTGCTCGCCTTGCATAACAGCAGCAGGGCCTGGATGCGCTAAGAGGACAGATACGCAGGCTGGCATATTGGTAATTGATTGTAAACACGGGCAGCCTATAGGCCTCGGCTGCCTCAGATATTATTATGATGGAGAAGAGCTACCTTCTCTCCCCGCCACCTGCAGAATGCGCAAGTCTATAACAGCCCACTGCAGCCCCGTAGCCTCTTGATTTATTGCACTGCACAAAACAGATAGCAGTGGAAATATTTGCATAAGAATGCAATGGCAACCCCGATAGTGGAAAAGCAGTTTGTGGTGGATAAGGCACTGGAAAATATGCATAGTGGCCTAGAAATAAATAAAATACGGTGACAGCCCTCCGTATTGATTTTGATGAAGATGCACAGCAGTATTTCAGTCATTCCGCTCAAATGGTGCTTACCTCCAGCGTTCGTATCTCTTTTTGTGTCAAGTCGTTGGATGTGGCACATTTGGTCCGTAAACCCTCCAAACTAGAAATACTTATGTCGATCATATTTTGCACCAACTCGCACTGCTGCAAGGCTTTCTGCAAACTAAGATGCTGCTCCTCGCTTTTTGTCATCTCCTCGTTCATAGTTTTGCGAGCAGTGGTCGGTTTTTTCCCCCCCTTTGCGCTTAAAAAATTTAAATAAAAAAACAACAAAAAAATTATTCAGAAAAGAAACGTGGAGAAGCCCACGGAACAGAGCAACCTGCTGCAAAACGCCATGAAACGAGATGTTGTAGGTTTACAGACGCGGTTTGAGCCGTGAGAGAGTCGACTCCATTGCAACAACAGTCCTCGTAGTTCCTGCTGCTTCATCAAGGTGTCTCTGATTGTAGGCTAAATCAAACACAATATGAAGATACCGAGCGGGACTACACGGTTTGCCACAGCATCCATTGGGTGCCCCTTCGTTTTAAATGGATGTTTTGTTTTTTTAAATAGAAGCAGTTGAGCGCATCATAAGCAGACGTATCTGAGGGGAAAACCTGACGGTTTTAAAGGTGCTGATGTGTGGATTGGATGCAGGTACTCCCTGTCTCCCTTGGCAGCAGCTGCATCCCGGTTCGCTCCCACCACACCGACATGTTTCCCGTCAATCAAACCCACAGCAACAGCATCGCATCACCCAGGCACCGCCGTGAGGGGCCACTCTCGCGAGATCAGTGCCAAGTGCGGTGGGCTCACTGCTTTAACAGACAGGCTTGAATAAGGAACACTTTTCACATGTGTAGAGGAAAGATCGGGTCTTTATATAATAATAATAATAAATCGTAAACAGATTTAGATGTGTACTCTACCATACAGGACACCCACACATACACATAGCCTATGCAGCCTATACACTCTGTTTTTTTGTATGTATTTTTATGGGAAACAATTTATGTTCTCGTGACTACAGTGATTGTACTTTAAGTTAGAGTTTTTTTTAATGAATTGATTTGAATTGTTTAATATTTGACAACATCATAACATTTTGGAAGTCTTCTCATATTTGGATAAACTTGACTTTAAGTGTTATACTTGTTTACTAGAAATGTGTTGTCATTCTTTATAACTGGTGTTATTGTTGTGTGCCCTTAAGCCACTTAGCCCCCTTTTAAACTCACATTTTCTAACCGATATCTTTGTGAAGAAGACTGCTCTTGATTATGTCTTGATGTCATTCGGCTGGTAGGTTAAGTAAAATAAAATTATTCCCATATATATTCAGCAAAGAAAATAGGCCTTTACAATAATTAAATAAATCAAAACAAAAGAGAAAAACTCAAATAAAACAGATAAACAAAGTAAAATCGTCTTTCTTTCTATTATGTTGTATGTCATCATTTCACAGTTAAAAACTGTGTATGCGGCGTATTCCACACATATCTGTGTCTCCTATAAAAGGCTTGCACTTTGGGAACTGTATATTCAATAGTTAAGAGTTCACCAAGAGGTGACAATAACTGACCTATGGACAAAAACAGAAAACTGGCTGTGATGCATCTTCTGTAGGATAGTTAGTTTCTCTAAAAGACAAAAGAGAAACAATACAAATACATGTAAAGTCTGAATTCATTATATTAATTATCACGCTTTATTGAAATCTTCCATCTCATTATAAGATATGTGCTCACAACCCGGGGGTTAAGGGCATCTTACAGTTTCCCATGGTAACTCTAAAAGACCACAAAATAAATTAAGTCCTAAGAAATAAAGAATATATTTTACATATATTTTTTATATAAGACACAAGCCAAAAAGGTTGTAAACTACTGCTATAAGAAATTGGATAAAATAGGGTAATAACCTAAATGCAAGCTATTCATGCTCTTCAGAGGAAATGCAGCAACATTACACCTTTTGATATATGTATAGAAATAGGAATATTCGATTGCCAAATTTTCCACAAAAATACCAAGCTAGTTGAGAAAATATGTGTACAAAACATGTTTAATCTTTTCATCAAATGGCTCTAAGCTGTGCAACATATTTGGATAATTTAATACAGGACCTGCTGAATGTTATATTAGGACACTGGATATTTTCGATGAGAGTAACACGAGAAAATGTGTTTTTTCTTCGTCACCTGCCTACATAAATGTAATAGCCGTTATCACCCACATATCTGCATGCATTGTATAACGCTTTTTTAACTGTAATTGTGAAACTTCTCATTTTACACACTACTTTTTTACAGAGGGAAGTCGTGTCCCCAAAACCCCGCCCATATGTGCTCGCACACTGATGGGATTGGTTGTACGTCGTGACGTTTGACGCACGTTTTTGTTGTGGAGCGCGCCAAACACGGCCACCAGCATCAAACCGAGGGTGCCCGAAACTAAATGTATTTAGCTAGCTCGGAGCTAAGTATACAAAAACAGGGCACATGTCTTCCTCAAGTAAACTGCCGTTACAGAGCAGAAACTTACCATGGTGAGTTCAGAGTCGTTGTTCATCACAAATAGGTTGGAAAAGTTAGTGCTAGCTAGCTAAACTACATAACATTAGTATGGAATCAAGAAGGCAGCTTGCTACTGCATGTGGATGCACCAGCGTTAGTTCTTCATTCATATACAAACAACGTTAGATATGAATAATACTTATAAAAGGAATATTTAATCTTAATCTGTGTGAGCTTGTTTTACATTCGGCATACATAGTAGCCAGTTGATGCATTTAGCATTGCCTTTTGCCAGCTGATACAACTGTCTCGCCGGACACGTTGCGGCCCCTAATTAACAATTACAAAGTTGAAATTGTATTTAATATATTGGTGCATGGTGCAAAATAAAGATGCCGAATTGAAACTTGATACTTAGCTATTTGAAGTGTCGATAAAGTAAAAACTTATTGCATATGTATCCAAATCGTTGAGACAGATGCTTTAAAATAGAGAAACTCTTAATGAAGTTCGTTCTGTAGTTTGGATCAGTACCGACAACGATGTTATGGGGGCTTAACAAGTGGCTAATGTAATTTTGAGATATTTATGTTAAATTAACTTGTAATGTGTTTATGCCAACCACTCCTACGTTTTGCAGGCATAAGTCATTTAGAAATTGGAAGTATTGGTTTATTATTTACATCATTGATGTTTTGGACGATGTCTTTTCGCTTTATATTCAAGGGTTGAAAAATACAGACCACAGAAGCTCGATGATCTGATCTCACACAAAGATATTCTAAGCACCAGTAAGTATGTAGAATAATACATATGATCCTTCTTCCTAAAGCCGCTGCACAACAGGGTTCATCAGTAACCCTGCTCATTAACACAACTTCTCCAGTTATTTTTGCTTTTTTATTATAACAACTTGGAACATATACATATCAGGTGTATTGAAATATGAATAACAAAGATACCACACAATTTTAAAGTTAACTTATAAATGTGTTTACGCATTTACCTGCTGTCTGTCAGTTTGCTAACTCATATTTTTGTTGTCTACTATATACTACTGTAAAAGCCATCAATAGTTCAATCATCAGTTGTACATGAGCCACAGCTTTATACATTGACTTCATGCTTAAAATTAATGGTACCATTCAAAATAACCATGTCATATTCAGATTGTTGATTTAGTTCCTGCTCTTTCCAATGTTTTTGATCCTTTCAGTCCAGAAGTTTATCAGTGAGGAAAAGCTTCCCCATCTCCTGTTCTATGGCCCTCCTGGAACAGGAAAAACTTCCACCATCCTGGCCTGTGCCAAGCAGCTGTACAAGGAAAAAGAGTTCACCTCCATGGTGTTGGAGGTAAACTACAGCTCTTTTATTAAAAGCTTTTGGTTTATTGGGATGTGAGAGCTTTTTGCTTCTCCTTTCACCTGATATCTTCTGAGGTTCTTCTATTTGATATTTAACTTATTTTGTGTTACAGCTAAATGCGTCGGATGACAGAGGTATTGATGTTGTACGAGGTCCTGTCCTTAGTTTTGCGAGCACCAGGACCATCTTCAAGTAAGATACACAAATCTATTCTTCTACTCTTTTCACATACCTCCTGTTGCGTTCTTAAAGCTCTTTCCTTTTATCTGCACCCGGAATAATTTCAATTGCTGCCTTATTGTCCGCTCCTCTTGTCCTCCAGGAAGGGCTTCAAGTTGGTGATACTGGATGAGGCCGATGCCATGACCCAGGATGCCCAGAATGCATTGCGGCGAGGTAAGCCATCTGTTCAGCCGGGCGTTGTACAGCTCACAGTGGGCAGCCAGACCATTTGGCTACTTGTGAATTAAAGAAAATCTGCTTGTACACCCAGAAATCAATTTTGAAGGCAATTCCTATTGAAGGCTTTTGTTTTTAAGTATTGAAAACTTTGTGGAATCATCTGACCATTACCTTGTGTTAATAATTTGACATATAAATGCTTACAAACGTGTGTAGTTTCTTGATGCAGTGACTTGCATGTGATCTGCAAGTACTTCAAAAAATCCTGTTTCTATCAATAAGTCTCTCCTAGGTTTTAAACATGTGTTCTATGAGAGGACTTTGACAAAACGGAGACCTGTCAGATGTGATAGTCTTTAAAAGAGTAGGTTTTAGATGCAACAATGTATCTCTTACATTACATAATCTTGTTTCTAATCCCTGCTCTCTCTGTCCCTCTCTCAGTGATTGAGAAGTACACAGAAAACACTCGATTCTGTCTGATCTGCAACTACCTGTCCAAGATCATCCCGGCTCTGCAGTCTCGATGCACCAGGTTTCGCTTCGGCCCGCTGTCCCCAGACCAGATGATCCCTCGGCTGGAGTACGTGGTCCAGCAGGAGAGGTGGGAATCGTTCACGTGTCATCTTCTGTTATAACTGTCTGAGGAGGAAGAGATTTTGATGACGCTGTTATTTTCAACAAATCGTTTTTACATTTATTCCGATATTTGGTACTGCCGAACACCGTCAAAATGATATCCTTCGTTATAAAAATATATACATTTGATAAATATCATTTTATTTCTTGTTAATCTACTTGTTAGAGTTTCAAAGGAAGAATGCTATTTTACAGCACAGGATCGAAAGGAAATGATCCTACTGCACAAAATAATCAGTTACATACATTTGAATTGAATAATTAGTGACGCTTTACAATGATCTGACTTTTAATTTAAACTGTTATTGTTTTTTGGCAGTATCGACATTAATCCAGGTGGAATGAAGGCCATTGTGACCTTATCATCAGGCGATATGAGAAGATCGCTCAACATACTGCAGGTACAACCAAATATGATCTTTACAATTGAGGTGTTGTCGCTGTTGCGTTGAAGTTTCAGTGTTTTTTTCTATTCATAATATTACACCTGTTGTTATTATATAGGTGTAAACAACACTAACTGTATTCCACCTGTGTGATTTCAGAGCACCAGCATGGCGTACGGGAAGGTGACAGAGGACACGGTGTACACCTGCACAGGTCACCCCCTCCGCTCAGATATAGCCAACATCCTCGACTGGTCGCTCAACAAAGACTTCACCTCAGCGTACAAGCGTATCCTTCACTTTGATTATATACAGTAGAGCTTCCCGAGTGATTATCCTGATAGGCAAAGGGTGTTTATGTTTAGTGTTATTCTGTACAATATTAGAAAAAGCTCAACATCCCGAACATCTTGTATTTT